AGACCAAACAATAAAAATAGAAAATAGATCATTCGCCCCTAATTAACTAATGAGGTGGTGTATCAAAAGCATTAAAGTCATTGAATAAAAGGTAGTTAGCTATCTTATTATTATTCTTATAAAAAAGTTAAAATTTACAATCTAACTTCTATATAAAATCAAATTTATAAAATCAGTGATATTTTAAAAGGAGTGATAATCATAATTATTTTTTATAATTGTTGAGATAAAATGATAAAAAAAACATCCAACAATGCTGTACTCTTTTCGCCAATGACTACTGCATGTCACTTACTAATTTTATGTCACCTCTGCAACTCTGAAATAGGTCATGTGCTGGGCTATCCGAGTCAATGGATCACCAATAATAGACATCAATATATGTCAAATCTGAGTTTAAATAATTTCATGCGTCAAAAACGTTCACTCTGAGACCTTGAATGCAGCCAGAGATCGTTTGGGGATGATCTACATTCTTCAGAACCTTGTGGGGAACACAAGGGTATCGAAACATAAAAAAACTCACCGGAAAGAAAAGTGGGATTGCATTTAGTGTTGTAACAAGGTTAAATAGCAATTTAATTTTTAAATTATAGATTTATGATTATATTTAACCTTAAACTTGCTTTTAAAGTAACATCTTCATCAGTTTTAAAAAATGATGCAATGTTGTTCATATCTTTTTTTTTATTTAAAAATAACTTTTATAATTGGTTGACAAGACAAATGACATCAAAAATTGTCAAAAAGGACCAAATTTTTTGGTCATTTTAGATCATTTGTTGGGTTCTTATTTATAGGTTCTTAGTCATTTTTTGTAATTTTATTAATTCTTTTGTATTTTTTTATTAACAGTCAACATTAATTTTTATTAACTGTATCGTTTTTAAAAGTTGGTGAATATCGTCCAAAAGAAATGAATTTAGATTTTAAACGTTTCTGAACTTATAAATTTAAAAGCCAGAAGAGCATCTGACCCTTTGTGGTAAGATCACGTTCGTCACCGCCGGTGCGCACTCAGATACAGGTACCCAACTTGCTCTTTAATGTGACCAACTCTTGGAGGTATTCTGCAACTAAATCTCTTTCATAACCAGGCTCTGCATTCATTTATCTATTTCTCTTCATTCCGAATGACTTAGCAGATCATAAAGCTGTTCTTTACCTGCTTTCTATTCTCATCCCGCAACACGTTTTCTTTTTTTAAACAGTTTGTCCCTCGGTGGCAGCAGGTATAATCATCGGTAGCATAATTTAAACCATTGACAGCTCATATTATGCGATGACAATGAATTCCAAGGAGCAGGTGAGTCAACTGTTCATTCTTTGAATTTATATTCAACTAACCGTTAAAAGGTATGGTTGAACTACTCATCCTTTGATCATGTCGGTCGCCAACGTATATAAAGCTTTATTTATTTTTGGTATAACGCATGTAAAACTTCATAATGTAGTTTATTGATCGTGACATAGAGCTAGCTAGGTTGCATGGATGTGGATGTCATATTCGATACTCGATTTTATATTTTAAAAATATAAAATATAACATGCTTTCAATATGTGTGTATATATATTTGTAAAAAATATTAAAAATATATTTTTATTTAAAAAATATTTAAATTAACATACATATATAGCTCTTTATAATAATACCATGTAAAATATAATCATTAATTATAATTTTATTTTATTTATATCTAATTTCTTATCACTTAATCCTTACTAATAAATATAGTATCAATATCTCTTTTTTCTCGATCATCACAAAATTACATTTTTCACGTTTTTGTAATTAAAAAAAACTAATATTTATTCTTTTATTACATCTAAGACTTAATTTTTTTAAAAAAAATCTAATCTTTGACTTTAAAAATGATACCTGTAATAAAAAATTTAATATTGTAAGTTTTAGTAAATTTATTTTTTTTAATTTTTGTTTTTCAAAAACCGATTAACAATCTAAAAGCATCTAGTATGTATTGAAAATTAGAATTTTTTAAAATTTAAAAAAATATTATTTTAATTCTTTAAGAATACTTATCAAAAAGTATCGATAGTTATCAGTATGAATATATATAGTAATTTAAAGTATCGATGCTTGATAGATATAGAGTATCAGATAATATTGCAGCCTACAGCATATTTAATGGAAAAGATCAGAAGGGAGATGCCAACTAACCCGACAATTCAGATCACAAACATTGTCTAAATTTTGCTCGACTTGCAATTAGATCTTTATAGATTATTTTGTTATAATTAAACCTCTATAATTTGATATATTGTACTATATTAATCTTTAAAAGTTAAAATTAATAATAAATTATTAAATTTCACAAAACAAAAATACTCTTGGAGTTTACAAAAAATTTAATTTAATATTTTTAATCAAAATAAAAAATTAACTTAATATATTTTTAAATTTTTATCAATTTTTAATCAAAATTTCATATGTAAAAAAATTATTTAAAAGATAACCTAATTATTTAAGTTTTAAATTATAAAAGTTACATAATAAACTTTAAAGTTATATAAAAGTATAATAGTTGTTAATTATATATTTTTAAAAGAAAATACAAGGATGTTAACTTTTAGGATTAAGTAATTTAATTGATTGAGTTATAGGAGTTTAATTAAAACAAAATTAATTACTTTTTCTGTTCAATAATATAATATATTTTTGAGGAGTTGAACATTAAAAAATGCAAGACATTTTTAATATTTTGAGGTATAATCATTGTTTTTTTTTAAAGTATCTCTATTGATAAATGATTTATATTTATTGTAAGGTGTTTTATAAAATAAGTATAAAAAAATAAAATTAATTTAAAATAAATAATTATTTTATTAAAGATTAAAATTTAATTAAAAATATTTTATATTTTTTGAGTGGAGGAAGTATAAGAATCTAATTTAAAATTAAAAAATTATAAAATCATGTAAAAATATTTTATTTTTAAGTTTTGAGTCCGCAGCTCAATTATGGAAAATAAGTGGAGGAGGCGAAGAGTCAACACTTGAGGTCGAGAGCCCAGTGTAATTAATAAAGATGGTGACACTTTTCCCTCCCATCATAGCTTCAACTGTATGAGGCTGGGTTCGACAGAGTTCATTTACGAGATCACCTGTAAAACTTGCTTGATTGAGAGCAGTGAAGACAATGGGACACCAAGTTGTAGTTGGATAAGGTGAAAATGACTCATGGAAGACGAACAACGTGGAAGTTATATTTCGGTCTGCTTTTAGTTGGATGTTGCTATTTTTTATATTTTTTTTAGTGACAAATAGAGAAAATGAAAACTTATGATGGATTAAACTTTCTCAAATCAACACCCTAATTTAGAATATGGCTTAAAAAATAGGACAACCCAGATAATTCCTCCAGTATCCCACATCTCCCAAATCATTCTTGTCTTGCAAAAGATATATTCTCTTTTATTTTCATTGTAAGACATTTTAAATTATTTCACACATAATTTTTTTAATATTACAAAAAATCAAAATGTACTTTTATTTTTATAATTAGTTTTAAGTCATGATACAACGATGTTAAATATTTGTATGTAAGTTAACAAAAAGTAAAATAAAAAATAATTTAATTATTATAAAATATCTTATATTATAAATTAAAAATTATTTTTAAAATATCTCACAAATAATATAACGAGGAAAGTAGGATAGAGGGGCGCTTGACGGGGACTCTGCCATCTGGAGTCCTTTGGCTTAAGACTTTCTAGTCGTAAAGGGCATGCCTAACTACTCAATTTTTTTTTTTTTAATGTAATGAACAAATTTATTAGCTCAGAGTAAAAAACTGTGCAAGGTTCTAAAATAAAACTTAAAAGCAGAAACTAAGAAAAATTAAATCAAAGACCTGCAAGTAAAAAAATATTTTTAAGTGTGATTAACAATAGCGCCAAACTAAAACAGCCACTATGAAAGACAAAAACTTTATCAGTCAAAATGTGTAATTAATCAATTTTTTATTAGAGTACTTGTATATTTGCTGTTGCATAGAGTTTCTTTTAATTATGTTATAGAAATTTAAAAAGGATAATTAATTATTAAATCTGTCTCAAAATTTAACCTATTAAAAAGGATCTCCTATTAACGAATATAGATCTGATTCCCCCCCCCCCCAAAAATATGCTGCATTCTCATTTACTACTAAAAAAACTAAGTTGTGAAGAGAGAGAGAGAGAGAGAGAGAAACGCAAGATTCAATTCAATATAAGCTATATAAAAATATTTTTTGGCAATAAACCATATAAAATCATTAAATTAGAATTAAGTTATTTTTTTACTAATTTACAACGAGGATAAAATAAAAAAGTATTAATATATAACTTTTTATATGACTTACGTGAAACATGAAAAAAATTATTTAAACTATTCTTGGCAAGGGGAAAAAGTAAAAAAAAAAAAAAGACATTTTTTTTAAGGCTTGGCTAAGAAAAGAAAAAGAGGGAGAAAAAAATGACATGCGGGACTTATATGTTTTAATGGCAAACTTTTATCCTCAAATATAGAAAAATTTTAAAAAGGAAAGTTAATTTTAAATTTACTCATAAATCTTTTACTTTCTACTTGTTATCTCTTTTTATTTTCATCTTAATTTTTCCTTTACCTTAAAATTTTTATTATTATATATTTTTTGATACTTTGCATTATTATATATTTAATAAATTAGAAAATAAAATTTAAAATTAGACAAAATATTTTTTGCTAGTATCGAACAAAATATTTCACGGTTATATTTTTATTCAATCAATAATACATAATAAAAAAAATTATATAAATAGTAAATCAAAATATTAAATTTTATTATATAAAAATAATTTTTTGTAAATAATAAGATTATTGCTGTTCGTATGAAATTACTAATTTTTTTCTTTTTCTATCCAACTAGCCAAGCATAGAAAGAAAAAATTATATATTTTTCCTCCTTTTAGTTTCTTTTCTCTTCCTTTACCCGGTGAGCCAAGCACCATTTACAGAGCCTTCTCTACTAGTGCCATTAACACAGCAGGAAAGAGGAAAATTGGGGATTGTCTCATTGCACATGTTAGTTTGCTACGTGGACCACCTCTGTCATTTACCTTGTAGGTTGTAGCTCAAACGATAAACTAACATAAATGGGCGTCCACTGTTGTGGAATCAACCACACAATTCTTTCAATAAATTGCTCAAGGTTTCTGCTTCTGTATATATAGTTACTCTGGCTATAACTGTGCGTGCCAAGAAAATAGCAATGGGGAGCCAGAATCACTTGAGAGTTTTGTTGCTTTGCTTTATAGCATTGATTGGATCAACCCAGGCTCAATTGCAGAAAGGATTCTATGCCAAGAGCTGCCCAAAAGCTGAGAAGATCATTCAAGACTTCGTCACTCAGCATATCCGAAATGCTCCATCCCTCGCCGCTGCTCTGATCAGAATGCATTTCCATGACTGCTTTGTCAGGGTATGATTTTCTTTCCAGTTCGTTTTCGTTGATGAGTGGTTTTGATGAGCTGGGGAACTAACACTTGGCATTTCAGGGCTGCGATGCATCAGTGCTCCTCAACTCAACGACCAGCCAAGCAGAGAAGAATGCTCCTCCAAATCTCACTGTTAGAGGATTTGACTTTATTGACAGAATCAAGAGCCTTGTGGAAGCTGAGTGCCCTGGTGTAGTCTCTTGTGCTGATATTATCTCTTTGGCCGCCAGAGACTCCATTGTTGCCACAGTAAGCATCCATTCTAGCTCCTGCTTCATCCTTATCATCGAAGTTTATAACTTTTCCATAACATACGAAGACTCGTTTGGTTGCAGGGCGGTCCCTTCTGGAATGTTCCAACAGGTAGAAGAGACGGAACTGTATCGGTCCTAGTGGAAGCTAGGGACCAAATTCCTGCTCCAACTAGCAACTTCTCCACCCTTCAGACACTCTTCGGCAACAAGGGACTTGATCTGAAAGACTTGGTTCTTCTGTCAGGTACATTAAACCAAACAAAATCGTAGGCATCAGTGATTCGAGTCGCTAACAGTGCTGAAAATTTTCAGGTGCTCACACAATTGGTGTCTCCCTCTGCTCATCATTTAACAGCCGATTGTATAATTTCACCGGTAAATTAGATCAAGACCCAGATCTAGACAGTGAATACGCTACAAATCTCAAGACCTTCAAGTGCAAGAGCATCAATGACACCAACTCGATTGTTGAGATGGACCCTGGAAGTCGCAATACATTTGATCTTAGCTACTACAGAAATGTGCTCAAGAGAAGAGGGCGTTCCAATCTGATGCTGCTCTGCTGACCAACTCTGTGACCAAGTCTACCATCACCCAGCTGCTCGAGGGCTCAGTGGAAAACTTCTTTGCCGAATTTGCCAAGTCCATGGAGAAAATGGGACGAATCGATGTCAAGACTGGGACACAAGGAGAGATCAGGAAGCGTTGTGCAGTCGTAAATAGCTAGGAATCTTGATGCTCATCCAATATCACTTCCGTTTTCTATTTTTTTGCAACTTATTTTTGGGCATGTTTATTTATTTTTGTGGTGACTTTGGAATTGGTGTGTCCTCATAAGATATGTCGTGGGTATCTTTGCACATGTTGCTGGAATAATAGGGATCCCCTGTGGACTGTAGTTTTCCAGTTTGAAAAGGGAGGTTTGGTTCTTGTTCTTGCAAATAAAAAGCGTAGAATTGAAGAATACTTGTGATTCTTGTTCTTTGTTGTCGAAAGATGAGGTTTTCAAGATTATTAGAAGCAACGTATATTTGCTTCTCCGCATATATTCTTACTTCTGAATAGTTCTTTTCGGGCACTCAAGGAAAGAATTTCTCCATTTTAAAAGGTCGAAAGTTACCCTAGAAGAACTCGAAAAAAAATCCCGTTTAAAAAAATTTTCTTATAGAAGTGGCCGTCCACTTCATGGAGGAGCCTCTAGGGACTACTTTGAAAGATACCGTCTTCACTCAATGTTGTACTGATTTTCAGCCACTTTCATGTATATCTATCAGTAAGACATTTAGAAAAAAATTTATAAAATTTTAAAGTAACTCGAGTTTACATTATTAATCTATGATTTACAAAATAAACTTAGAATCATTGGAATCTTTTTTTGGGGGTAGAAATCATAGGAAAATGTTGGAGGTGTACCTCAATGGGCCCATGCAGGAGGAGCCTATAAGAGTCATTTCAATTTCAAAAGGAATCATCCTTCCCCAACGTTACATTGCTCTCGCAGGCTTTCGGCAACATTACTCAACGTGTTTTTGTGGGTCAATTCGGGCTGAAAAACATAACTAAACTTACGGCCAAGTTGGGCTCTAAGTTGGTGTGTGAACCAAAGGCAGCTTGTGCATGGCCATAGTTTAGAAGGAAATACTCTCACAATATATAGATATATATATATATATAGATTCAACAAGTAGGGTGTAGGTAATTACACTTACACCCTATATATCAAAAGTCAAAACACATAAATGGTTTTATAATAAATGAATGGATTTAAATACTTATTTTATAATTTATCATTATATGGTTAATTGTTGTTTTGTTTTTTGGCAAAACAAATTGTTATATATATATATATATTTTTTTTTTGCTTTTCATGCCTGATATCCTGATAGTGTTTGGATATGCTGGATTCATTATCTACCCAATTATATGTTTTATTAAAAAGGAGATATGAGAAATCATATATCTAAACTTACTCTATTAAAAACAAAGAGGGCTGTGGGAGGAGAAGGGTGAAAGTTTAGGTCCAGCCCAATTAGATGTAACGCTTCATCTCCGATTGCACATGGTCCAAAAAGGAAAAACATCTTGGACCCCACATGATAGCCGCCGCTCTCTCGCTTTTCAAAGCCCCAAATTTCAATTCTTAAACCCTAATTTTGGGCAGCGTACCGCTTGCTGCCTATATATATCGTTCGGGCGCGTTTTCTGTCGCTCATGCCTCCCTGCGACGGCTTTGCATTCTGCGC